AGTGGACCTGTCCCTGTGAGGACGCACAGGCCCGGGGTCAGGGGGAGCAGAGCAGAGGCCGCCTGCAGTGGTCTGGATGGCACAGGTAGAGTGAGAGGTGCTCTGCTCTGCTCCTGGAGGGAGAAAGGAGCTGGAGAGCCGCAGGAGAGTCACCCTGGGTGGCAGGAAAAGCTCTTTCCTGGCTTGTGAAGAGAAGGAGGATGAGCAGATGACTTGACACTGGGATGCACCAGGAGGGAGTGCTTGGTAAAATCCAGTGGTTTCCAGATGTTTTTAAAACAGTGCGGTCCTTTGTCCTTTTCACTTTGGAGCTCATGCAGAAAGTGGAAACACAAAAAGAGGAGCTCAGAGCAGGTCTTATCAAAATGCGGGGAAGGCCATGTCCAGGCTCATCTTTGAAAAGCCTGGTGGTTCCACAAAAGCACCAGGAGACACATAACCTCAGGTGGAGCAAGGGTGATCAACCCCACCTGTTTGATCAGGGCACAGATTCACTTCTCACACTGGCCTGCCATCTGACAAACTGCGAGGTCGTGCAGGGTCTCACTGATTCCCAAGCTGGATGGGGAGCTACACAGTGAACCATGATCAGGTAAATGGGGCATCCCAAGAGCAGCTGGACTCTCAGCCACCTTGGAGGGAGCGGTAGTTAGGAGGTGAGCGGAGGCCTGACAGCCATCCAAAGCAAAGGCGCTTTTCTCTGCAGTGTCGGTAGGAACCTTGCACGCTGACCCCACAGCTGCTGCCTGGACTGCAGGTGCCTGCAGTGCCCACCTGCACAGCAGAGCTCTGCTTCTGAGCAGGGTGAGACAGGATGGCCTCAGAGTGGACCTGCGCTGATATGTTCAAAGAGAAAGGGGCATAGGCAGGATGAAAGGACAACAAAAGAAGGAGCGTGGGATAGAGGAAGAAAGTTCCTAGTGTGAGGCTAGGTTATGATTTCAAGGAGCTTTCTTCAGCAGTGGACTTGAATACACTTTTGGGAAAGGAGCAGCTTTGCAAAGGGGAATACCCACATGAGGGAGGGATGGACCCTCCCCAGTGTGACGGCTCCACTATTGTTGGGGTAATCACATCAGGGCTCAGCCGCAGCTGTCAAGGTTTAACGTTTTAATTTCCACCATTACCCAAGATGCCTCAGGCAGAACCTTGCACTCTGGATTCAATTCACTTGGGTGCTGAACATGTGAGCGTTCCCACAAGTATTTACAGGGCAAAGGCCTTCAGAAAGCACCATCTCCCCAGGACTCACAAACTCCTCCTTGCTGCTGCCTCTCCCTCCTCTTCCTTCCCTCCATTCATTCATATCTCCCTTCGTCTTGCTCCCATCGCTCTTTTCCTTTCCTTTCTTCTTCACCTGTTTTCTTTCCTTCTTTCAACTCATTCTTCCTGAGCCCCACTCTCTCCGAAGTCACAAGCCTGGTGTACAATGCCGACCAAGCACAAACACGCCTCCTGCCTCCAGGGCACTGTGAGCCAGCTTGGGAAGACAAACATTGATCCAATCACTGCAATGGTATTTCCTTTTTCACTACCCAAGTTAAGATTTCATATTTTCCATAAATGTCCCCTGGACATGGAAACAAAGAGTTTATATTGGGTTTGATCTTACAAATATGTGTTCTTACTGGTCCTATTTCCTACAAATTTTATCTCCTGGTCATAGCCCCACTTCCTGCTTTCCATCAAGTACCACAGAGGTAGCTGTCATTGTCATCAGAGCATGGAGTGTCCTGTGCACTAGGATCTGGGCTCTAGCTTCAAACCAAGTAAGATGCCCACTGGCCAGGGCAAAGGCCGAGCATGTATCTCCTTTGACACCGTGTCTTAGCATCCTCGGTCCATATGTGGACATTGTTGGGTTGTGGGTGTCAAGGGACCAAAGAGGTAACTTTTTTATTATTCTCTTTTGTTTCAAATCCCAATTGAAAGAGAAAACTATTAAAGGGCATTATTAATGTTCCAGCTGTTTATTAGCTTGCATGTGTGTAATTAACCTTGATCTATCCTTTTGTTGTTAATGGACTGGTATTACTTTGTATATAGTAATCCTTTTACAGACAGAAAAGTTGAACAGGAGAGTTTTTAAATCCAAACTAAGAAATGTTTGTATTAATGGGGCTATTTAACCCATTTGTCCTACTTTAGAAATTTATGATTTGATCCCTGTCTTTTAATTTTTAATCTCTTTGCTGTACATTTTCAGTGAATCTTTTGTTCTCTATCTTGATGTTTTTTTCTATTACTATATAGAAGATAGCCTTTTAGCTTTCCACCATTAAATCTTCTATCCCCAGGCATTTGTACCCAGATTTTGTCTTAATCACTTTCTTATCTCTAAGACATAATACAGGACACTCACAATTTAGAAAAGGGGTCTATTGTGGCTCACAATTTCAGAACTCAGTTCTTGGATGGTCAGCTGCATGGCCGAGGGGGCTGGCAGAGGAGAGCGCTCACCTCAGGGTGTCCAGGAAGCAGAGTAAAGGGAGCATCAGGAAAGGGAGCGAGAACCTTCCAGATCACACCCACAGTGACACCATCTTCTGACCAGACCCTACCTCCTGATGGCATTTCATCTCTAGACACCCAGTAACCTAGCCCCCTTTCGAACACACAAGGCTCTGGGGGTCACTTTGGATCTCAACCACAGCACCGTCTTCTGCCTAATCGTTCTGAGGAAATACCATCCATCAACTTCTGAAGCATAAACATACAGAGACCCTAGACACTCTGATGTCTCCCTGGCTAAAGTCACTGTCTCCAGTTCCATGCCTCCTGTCTGCTTCCTAATCCATTCCAGTGATGGTCTCTTCTCCAACCCTCCTGTGAAAATAAGCAAGCAAAAACTGTTACTGACCTCACTGGGCTGCATTTGCCCAAGTCACAGGACAGCTTTCAGTCCTCAACTTAGTGGCTTCCCAAAATATCTTCTTCTCAAAGTCCCATGGTGCTACTTCTATGTAGATTTTACTCCCACTCTCACTTCCTCACTTCCTAGAGCTTTTTGCAATTTGTTTCTCCTTTGATCTCCCATTTCTACATGAAGGCTAACTGGTCTTATGCTATTTTGTGTTCTGCCCGTAGGCGATCTAACCTAGTACCTAGGACAGATGTCCTGTGCCCTTTGTGTATTGATAACTCTCAACTCCTGTCTCCTTAAAGTCCAAACTCATGCTGGACCTCTCAGTTTGGAGGGAGTGGATTGCTTAGACACTGGGGACAGTACTTGTGAACACCCTTCAGTGTGACTGGAGTTGGCATCTGGGGCAACAGCAAAAAGACACATGAGAGTGACTAAGGTGGAAAGACCTGGAATGAATAGTGTGGACACTGTGCCAGCAGCCCAGGGAGCAGAGGCAAGGACATGGGCACCCACAGAAAGGATATGAGCACCACATATGTTGAGTGGGGACAGAAGCCACAAGAAGGAGTTAAATGTGTTCCTTTGTTTTAGCTTTCTTAAAAAATCTAATAATTTTTGGAGAATAGTTTCAGATTTATGGAAGAGTTGCAAAGATAACAGAATTCTTGCATAATGATCATTCAGTCTTTTTATTGTTAGCATCTTATATTACCATACAGTAATAGAATTGGTGCATTTGTCAGCTAACAACTAAGGAAACACCATGATACATTACTGCTAACTAAACTCTACACTTCATTCAAATTTTGCTAGTTTTCTCCTAATGTACTTTTCTACCCCAGCATTCATTGGATTAATAAATGCCTAGCTGATTAGTACAGCATGTTACTGGGTCTTTCTGAGTGGACCATGGAGCTGTGGACTTGGTTACTATGCCTTTCCTATCTGGTGCTGTTCCCTTTCTCTGCTTCCTGGCTGCTATGAACTAAGCAGATTTGCCCCAGCATGCCCTTTTGCCACGATGCTTCTCCCTTGGAACCAACTTTGGACTGAATGCCCCCGAACCATGAGCTAACTTAAACCTTTCCTTCTTTAAGTTGTTTGTGAAGGGTATTGTATTGAGCAGTGAGAAACCTCACTAATAGAATAACCCACTGCTTTTAGTTGTCATGTGTCCTTATTCACCTCCAGACAGCTTCTAGATTCTCACTGTTCTGATGATTTTGACAGTTTGTGGCACAGTGATCAGAAATTTATATAATATACTTCAATTTGAGTTTCTGTGATGCTTTTCTTATGATTACACTGGGACATTTCTCATGGTTAGCTTAGAGTATTGGGAAAAGAACACTGGGGACAAAATACAAAAAGAGTACAACAAATATAAGCAAAAACATCCTTTAGAAATTGTAAGGGGAATTTCTGAAATAAAAGATTAAAGAGAACATTGAAGGGACTGTTATAAAATAATTAAAAAGAAAAGCACTCTGTATGAAAACCAACAGCTTGTACTCCTCTTTGCTGTATTTAAAGGACACATTAACTGGATAAAGTAATATTTCAAATGCAAAGTGTACTTAAAGGACACATTAACTGGATAAAGTAATATTTCAAATGCCAAGTGTTAGAAAATAAATGACTCAAAAATCTGTAACAGCTAGAGAGAAGGAAATAAAAAAAACTAAATAGCAAGTCAGTAAACAAAAAGAAGAGTTGGTTAATAAAGCTAAACACTATTTCAAAGAACCCTGAAACTGATGAATTGCTGGTGGTATGAGAGAACAAAGCAGGGAAGAAAAAATATGAATGAAAGAACATAGAAACAAGCAATACCAGGAGCAAATAAAAAGCACAAACCTTCACAGTCTTATTTTTAAAATACGTACTATGAGTTGATTGTTGCTGTAAAACACTTTATACCAATAAGCCAAGACCTCACAAAATGGGTAATTGTCTATACATTCTAAAACTGGTTTAGAGCAAGACTAAGAATAAAATTTATAACTATAAGAAAGGAATAAAACTTGAAATAGTAGTTCATGATGTGCCATTCCCAAAGGTATCAGATCCAGATGATTTTTCTAGCAACTTTTGGCAAGAATTTAAGAAGCATGTATTTTTCATTTTATCTTACCTGCTTCTGAAAAGTAAAGTTACATGAGTGGTTTTAGAAGAACTGAAGATTGTTCTTGGGGAAACTGGAAAAGAAAAACACAAAAATGCATATTTTTGTTTCAAAACTATAAATATAACAACAGAAATATTATTTCTTTGCTGGTTTCACTTGGGGGGAAAACTAATTTATTTTTGTGGTCAACACAAATTCATCTTTGTGGTTAATAAAGACTCTAAAGGCACAATAAGCCAATATAATACTCCCCACTGACTTCCTCAATATTTGGCCAACAGTTATAACTTCTTTTTAAAAAGTATATATTAATGCAGATATTTCCTCCTAAATGTTGGTGAAGCATTGCAGGAGAAACCAGCGTTTACTAACTTTCATTTGGCTAAATTTGCTGGGCAGAATTCCAGGCTGATGCTTTAGATTATGTTTAGCTTTAAGAAACAAGATAAGACTCCCTTTTTGTTCTTTTCTCCAATGGAAATTAAATTGGCCCCCTGGATCACTGCTTATTTGAAAGAACCTGAGCATAAGTTCCCACCGTACTTGAATGTAATTGTTAACTCTCTTCAGCTCTGTGGTATCTTTATTCCTGTCAGTTAGGAAGGTTTTCATATGACTACAGTAGCATTTTTTGTTTATCAAGAGGTAGAACTGCTGGTTCTCTTTCTTCAATTCATGACTTTCAGGGTGAATTCTTAGCAATTCATTGGCCTTTCAACACGGCAACAAGTTCAAGGCACAAGGAGCAGAAAGGAAACTGGAGATCTTGATGCGTGTCCCATAGGTGACCCTGCAGCTGCCATGTACATGCCACAGAACCTCACCTCTGCTGCTGCACTCCACTCCAGGGGACATTTGCAGCTGACTCCTGTAGCTGAGAATGGGTACGATGCCAGCTCTGGTCCCTGCAACTGTGCAAACACATGTAATCTGCCTTCCGCCCACACGACTGTGATGCACCTGCAGCTGGACCTTCCATGCTGCCAGCCCTGGCCCCACTGCCATCTGCCTGATTTTGTCTCTTGCTTCTGGACCAGAAGTGCTGCTGACGAACCCAATAGCTCTCAAACCACTGCAGACCTCCTACAGCTTCTGCCAAAAAGAACTGTCCTCTGACCTGAGGTCCTACCTCTGTCCAGAAGCCACTCTGCATCCTGCACCCAGTACCTGTGCCACTAAATTAGACGTCACATTGCACCGCCATGTTCTCCTCCCCCACACAGATGAAGGTGTTTCCTTACTGAAGCCAGACCAAAAGGCCTGGAAGAGGAGACTGTACTGTACATGAACTGTCTGAGGAAAGAATTGAAAATAATGGCTCTAAGTAAGCTCACTGAGCTACAGGAGAACACAGGGAAATTATTTAACAAAATCAGGAAAACAAAACAAAAACAAAGCAACGGACACAACTAAGCATAGAAAACGAAAAGAGCCAAATAGAAGCTTTGGAGCAGAAGAATACAAGTACAGAGCCGGGCGTGGTGGTGCACACTTACAATTCCAGCACTTGGGATGCTGAGGCAGGAGGATCATTGGACTTGAGACCAGCCTGGGCTACAAAGGGAGCTCAAGTCCAGCCTGAACTGCATAGCCAGACCCTGTTTCAAAAAGACAAAAAAAAAAAAAGAATAGAAGGACATAACTAAAAACTGCAATGAAAATCTTTAGCAACAGATTGACTCAGACAGCAGAAAGAAGATGTGAACTTTAAGACCGGTCTTTTGAGTTATCCAGGCAAAGGAGAAGAAAAAGTGAAATGAAAAAGAAAAAGGGCTCTTGTGTCTCCGAGATACCATCAAGAGAACTAACATTTATATTATAAGATTTTCAGAAGGAAAAGAGAAAGAAAAACACAAAAACTTTATGTAAATAGGTACTATAAATTTACAAATTTGGGGAAAGACATATATATTCACATACACGCAACTCAAGAAAACCTCTAAACACACTCAATCCAAAGATGACTTTACCAAGATAATCAAAATGTCAAAGGTAGGAGAGAATTCTGAAAGTAATAAGAAAACATCATACACATGGAAACTGGGTGAAAGTTAACAGCAGATCTCACCTGAAGCCTTGCAGGTCATCAGAGAATAAGATGATACATTCAAAGTGTTACATGACAAAAATCTGCCTACTAAGAATATGCACTGGAAGTAAAGTTATTGACAGCTTAAAATAGATAGCATAATTATAATATCATTTATGTAAGCCTCGTGGTAAAGCAATAGTAGATACACGAAAGATTTAAGAAAGAAATCAGTGCATACTACAACAGAAAACCTTATCACAAAAGATGATAGCAAGAGAGGAAGAAATTCCAAGGTTAAGGGAAAAAAGGTTTATTTAGCTCACAGTTTATGGAGGTTTCAGTCCATAATCAGCTGGCTCCAAGGCAGAGTGGCACATGGCAGAGGGACAGTTCATGGTGGCACAAGACAGTAAAAGCAACAATGGAGAGGACAGCAAAAGCAATGAGAGAGAGAGGGGGGAGAGAGACAGAGACAGAGATAGAGACAGAGACAGAGACAGAGACAGAGACAGACAGATTCCTTTTTGTGTCCCTTATATTGTATGCAGTCTACTGGGGTTAGGGTAGTGCCAGTCCAATCAGTGAACTGATCCAGCAATCACCCACCCTTAATCTCAGCCCCCTTAATCCTAGCACTGCACTATGAATCAATCACATACTCTAGATTCAGCCACCTCAGAAAACACTCTATGATCACATGAGGCTTTGGGGGAACATCTAGGCACAAACCATAACAACTTTTAAGGAAAACACATGGACTAGATGTGAAAGGGTTGGAAAGTTATTCCAGGTTAATGGAAACCAACAAAGAGGAAGAGTGGCTATCTTTATTTCAAACAAAATGGATTTCAAATCAAACACTACAAAAAAACAGCAAACAAGTGATTCTATAATGATGAAGAGGTCAATTGACCAGGAGGATGTGACAATTGTAAGCACATCTGCATCCAACACCAGCATGCATGTGCACATAAAGCAAATAGTAGTGACTGTGAGGGAGAAAAGGACAGCAACATAATAGTACTGGAATTGTTTACTGCCCTGATTTCTTTTTAAGTTTTAATGTAGTTTTGAATGAATACATACAAACATAAAAATTGTACATATTTATGGGGTACCATGTGATGTTTTGATGTAATGTTTAAATCAAAGTAAACATGCATTTTCTCAAATATTTATTATTTCTTACTGGTGAAAGTAGCCTAAATCTTTTCTTTCAGCGTTTTGAAATACGTAGTGTGTTATTGTGATCTGTAGCTGCCCTACCACGCAATCACACAGCAGAACTTCTTACTCTTCTCTGACTATAGCTTAGTAGTTCCTGATGGTTCTTCCCTGTTCCTCATTTCTTCTTTTCCTCAGCCACTGGTATCCTGGTTCCACTCTGACCTTCTATGAGACTGAGTTTGTTATATTGCACATAGGGGTGAAATCACATAGTGCATGATTTCTGTGCCTGGGTTATTTCACTTAACATAATGACCCCCACTGACATCCACATTGTCACAAATGACAGGGTTTGATTACATTTTGTGGATGAATACTTTTCCATTGTATATATATATACTTCATTTTCTGTACCCATTCATCAGTTGATAGACACTTATGTTTGTCCATTTTTCTGCTATTATGAATAATGCTGCAATATACAGATGTCTCTTCAGCATACCAATTTTTTTCTTTGGGTATATACCCACTAGTCAGATTCCTGGATTATATGGTAGCTCTATTTTTAACATTCTGAGGAACCTCTATACTGTTTCCCATACCAGCACCACTAATCTACTTTTCCACTCACAATGTGCAAGAGTTCCCATTTTGCTACATTGTTACCAGCATTTATTATTTTTGCCTTTTTGATAATAGCCAGTCTTACCAGGGAGAGGCAATAGTGTGGTTTTGATTTGCATTTCCTTGGTGGTTAGTGACAATGACAATTTTTCACATGCTTTTTAACCATTTGTATGCCTTTTTTTGAAGAAGTGTCTGTTTAGGTTTATTTCCCAGTTTAAAAATTGGGTCATTTGAATTTCAGGCTACTGGATTTTTTACAAATTCCTTACCTGGATATTAATTTCTTGTCAGATGTATATTTTGACAATACTTTCTCCCAACCTTAGGTTGTCTCTTCATTCTGTTGATAGTATTTTTTGCTATACAGGAACTTTTTAATTTGATATAATTCCAGTTGTCCATTTTTGCTTTTGCTTTCTATGCTTTTTTGGATCTGGCCTCCCCAAATCCTTGCTCATTTCGAGGTCCTGAGTGTTTGCTTTCTTCTAGTAGTTCTGTAGTTTCATGTTTCACATTTAAATCTTTAATCTACATTATAGTTTGGATATGAATGTCCTCCAAATGCTCATGTGTTGAAGTGTTTGGAGGTGGTGCTTTCCAGAGGGAACTTGATTGTGAGGGTCTAACTTCACCAACGAGTAATGCATGGATGGACTCATAGGTCTCTGGACACTTGAAAGTTGATGAGAATTTTGGGAGGTGGAGCCCAGCTTGAGAAAATAGGCCACAAAGGCTGAGCCTTTGGAGGGCAAGTTTTGTCTGAGTCTCTCTCTCTCTCTCTCTCTCTCTCTCTCTCTCTCTCTCTCTCTCTCTCTCTATTTGTCTATCTATCTCTTTTCTCTCTGCCTCCTTTTCTCCTGCCTGGGCGCCATGAGCTCCACTGCACATTCCCTGGCATCTGAGGACATGCCATACTGCCTCATCCCAGGCCCAGAAACAAATCTAACCAGTGACCATGTACTGAAAATAGATAAAAACTCAACAAAGTAGCTGTGGAAGGAACCTAGTGCAACGCAATAAAGGCCACATATGACAAGCCCACAGATGGTATCCTATTTAACAAAGAAGCTTTCCATTTAAAACAAAGACCAAGACAAACATGATCACTTTTACCACTTCCATTCAATACAGTACTGAAAATGCTCACTAGAACAAATAAGCAAGATAAAGGAATAAAAGATATTTGAATTGGACAGGAAGACGTGTTTGGCAAAATTTTGTTTTTATTTGCAAATTCTACCTTGGGTCACAAACATGACTGTAGCCATCTTTCCCACAGAAACACAAATGAGACCATCTTTTCCAAAATCATGGAACAAATTAAGTTTGTGAACTGAGGTACTACTGTACCAGGGAACTGACATGCTGCATGACTAATCACAATGTATTGGGTGGCTGGAATTTGCTAAGACAGTAGATTTCAAATGTTCTTACCATACACAAAAATGGTAGCTATGCAAGGTGATAATGTATGTTAATTAGTAGGACCATGAGGTAATTCCACAAGGTGGATATAAATCAAACATTGTATTGCCTGTAGTCTTAGCACTCTGGAGGGCTGAGGCAGGAGGATCCCCAGTTTAAACCCAGCCTGGGCAATTTAAAGACTTAGCTAGACCTGGTCTCAGAATAAAAAGTTAAAAAAAAGGCTGGGAGGTAGCTCAGCGTGAAGTCCATGGTTCAACCCAGTAACACACACACACACACACACACACACACACACACACACACACACACACAGAAATCACACTGTACACTCTCAAGCATGCAATTTTTATTTGCCAATCATACACTGGTAAAGCTGGAAAGAATATTTTCAAAAGAGGGCAGGTGAAGCCAGGAGGTTCTGTCCCCTCCTGTGAGCCACGCCATTGTTCGCATGGCTTTCTCTAATTTCAAGTGTAAACAGGCAACTGTTTACACTTTATAGTGGCTGCATATTTTATAAGATCAGAGCAGGTTAGCTGTTGCTTTACTGATTTCAAACTCATACATTTCTTAATATGTTTACTAATTCTTCCATTTTTTCCCCTTTCGATGTATTTCTTTTTCTCATTTCTTTTTTTTGGAGTAAAAGAGAATTTTTCACCCTAGTATTGACTTAGTCACAGATATTTTTAAAAGAGTCATTATTTTCAAGACATTTGGCTTTGAAATATTGATTTCCTCCTTCAACCAATGCATGTAAGAAGACAATTTTTACATTAGCAGCTCAACTTTTAAATTTTAAAAGTGCATTTTTCATCTTGTAATCTTATGGACACAGAATATCGATTTTGTTAGTCACGTCTTTGGCACTGATAGGGCTAAATGCTGGTCATTTTGTCTTTATTAACATATAAAATCCTTATTTCCCTTTTTAAGCAGGGAATTTGAGATGTCTACACTTTTGGGTGTAATTCTTTGTAATAAGTAAAACATTCCTGATCTGGTTCTAAACATAAGGGCTAAACAGCCGAAGCTTCCAGAGGAAAACACATGTTTCATAAGAAAATATCTCAATGACCAACAAGTCTAAGGAAAGATGCTCACATGTCGTTGCTCCCATCAGGAAGATGCAGAGAAAGACCTCGGAGATTCTGCACTCAAGGGCAGGGTGGGACGTGGGGCGCTGTCCCCAGGGCGCTGGCTCCAGAGTACAGTGAGACAAGCACTGCCTGGAGGTTTCTCACAAAGACAAATACACACACTCCTCCTGAGCCCCGCCCCTCGGCTCTTAGACCCACACCCATGGGCCAGCATACAGAGGCCTGCGCAAAGACTGTGTCACAGTCACACAATTACTGTACACAAGATGCAGAGGAACCTGTTGCCTACAAGCACAGCTGGGATACAGTGGGGAGAGTGAGGAGTCAGGCACAGAGGCAGTGCATGGCATGTCCTTGTAGGTCAAGGCAGTGTACAGACCATACTGTTGGTGCGAGCGGTGGGGACTCCCCTCTGGGGACAGCAGTCAGAGCCCTGGGATTCAGTGGAATTTGTCTGAGCAGAAGTGAGAGGCCCCTGAGTTTCACTGGAGTGAATGTACAGCGGCTCTGGATCCTTTCTGATTCTTTGCTTAGGCGACCTGCCAGGAGTGAGGAGAAGTGTCGAAGATCCCCATCATCAGTGCAAAGCCGTGTTTCGTCCACCTCTCCTGGCCATGCTGCGGCTCTCCTCCTGTGCTCCCGCTGGGGCTCCTCGGTGTGCGGGAGGGGCTTGGGCCTCCACCCTACAGACCACCATGGGCAGTTGCAAAGTGTCCTCTCAGTCCGATTTAAACACCTCTTCCTTCTTGAGTTTTGCTGATATGAATTGTTTGGCTTCTGCTTTCTTTCTACTTAAAATTTGCATGATCTATATTTTTCCTTCCTTTTATTTAAAAATTATAGTAAACTATGCTTAACAAAATTTACTACTCTCACTGTTTTGAAGCACAAAGGTGGTCGTCATTCAGGTCACTCACATCTGGTGCCAGTGCCAGCCTTTAGAACTCCTTTCACCTGCAAAACTGAAACTCAGTGCCCTGGAAATAACCTCCTCTCTTCCCCTTGCTTTGGGCAACCGCCATCCTCCTTCCTTTTGGTAGGAATCTGACTCCACTCGGACCTCCACTAGATGGAGTCATAGGGTACTTGTCATCTCATAACTGGCTTATTTCACATATCATAATGTTCTCAAGGTTCACCTATTTCCTCGCATGTGTCAGAATGCCCTCTTTTTAATGGCTGAATAATATTCCACTGCACCCATGTAGCATATTTTATATATTCATTCATCTACCTATGAATCTTTGGGCTGATCCCACCCTTTGATTGTTTTGAACAAAGCTGACTTGGAGGGCAATGTCTCAAGTCTCTCTTTTTGATTCTTTTGGGAACTAGAAATGGTGGATCATATCATAATTCTATTTTTTATTCTTCTGAACTTTGTTTTCCAGGCCAGGGGCCCCTTTTAATGGTCCTGTTCATGATGCACAGGTTTCTGTTTCTCTGTACCCTGCCTATAGGAAGGAACTATAGGTCAGGGCCCAGGGGAGCAGAACACAGAGGCTGGCAGTGTTGAGCAGGTCAATGGCCAAATCCAAGGAAGCCGAGTTATTATGTTACCTTGTGACAGAGATAGACAACTGCCCCAAGGCTATGTCCCAGGGAACAGGTGGGATGGGTGGTGGTAACTGAGAGAAAGGAGAATGGACCCAGCAGGGGTGGATGTCACTGTCTCGGGAATCAGGGAGAAGGGCCCAAGTTCAATTCTGCTGCTGTTGAGAATCATATGGGGACGTCAGCCAGTCTCCTCCTGTGATGTCAGTGTCTTGAGGGTTATGAGGGGACCAAGTGAGGCCTCCTCAAAAGGTCTGGGGAGTGTGAGGGAGCCCACGCTGCCAGGGCAAGGGAAGGGTGCTCCAGCACCGGACACCTGTGGGCCACCACACTCCTCAGATGCTCATGCCTTCCTTTCCCTTCCTTTCCCTTCCTTCCCCTTCCTTCCCCTTCTTTTCCCTTCCTTTCCCTTCCTTCTCCTTTCTTCCCCTTCCTTCCTTCCCCCTTCTTTCCTTGCTTCCTTTTTTCCTTCTTCCTTCCCTCCCCTCTTGCTTCCCCCTTCCTCCTTTCCTCCCTCCCTCACTTCTTCCTTTCCTTCCTTCTCTTTTCCCCTCCTCCCTTCTTTGCTTCCTTTCCTTCCTCCCCCTTCCTCTTCCTCTTCCTCAGCCTCAGACCAGAGCATTAGCTTCCATGTGCTCTTGTCACCGCGGTGTTGTTAGTTACTCCAGGGAATCTGGCCCATCTTGTTCTGGTGCTGCTTATTTGGAAATGCTCCTGATTTTACAGACACAAACTACACACCTACATGCTACCCACACACATCACAGACACATACACATACATACTACACACATACCATACACTTGTAAGCACACACACTCAAATGGGCATTTCTTCCAACAGAGAAACTATAAACCACGTAAAACCAATGTAAGCAGCAATCAAATGGAGCCTGAAACATGATGAGAAAACACAGGTACTTAAAAGTTAACTTTGATACTTTAATGATTATTTATGAAGCACTTGTTTTTCCTGAAAAGCACTGATCTTCCTTCAGAAAAATGGAAGCTGTGAGCTGTGGATCTGTGTGCTGCGGGGAGCCCTTCCCTACCAAACTGAGAGTTACACCACAGGTATGATGAAACTGTATATGAGCACACACCTGTGGGTTCATGTCTCTGTTGCTACCTTTGCTTCATCCAAGCCTGTCTGATCCTGGCATCCTGTGGAGAGTGGGGACACTCTGGTGAGTGTCCCACACTTTTAGGATGTGGTTGCAGGAGAAGGCGTGGGAGCCAGGCAGGCACAGGAGCCAGCAGAGCTGAGGGAGACTGGAGCTGCAGGCATCCAGCCTCTGGGCAGGAGTGGGGAGGCTGTGTGTTTGGCAGTGGAGGATGGACTCTCAGGTCAGGAACAGACCATGAAAGCCCCGGGCATCTGGAACAGGCAACAAGTCCAATGTCTGAGGGCCAGGCTCTGCCCAGCCTCAGTTCATCCCAGGAAGCCTCTCCTTCACTTTCTGGCTGCTCTTTCCAGTCCTGCACTTTAATTATTAGGATATTTTTCACCATCATGCATACCATGGTATAGTACCAGAAAATGGTTATTTAATAAATATATGTCTGCTACAGAACAAAATAAGACTTGTAAAGCACTTTTATAACATCAGAACATTCTCAGAAAATAACTTTGACACTGTAATGATTGTTCCTGAAGCAAGTTTTTTTTCTTCTGAAAAATATTGGTCTTCTATTCAGAAAGTGACAGGCATGAACTACAATTCAAGAGAATGCAGAGCAGCATGCTGAAGACAGCCCTTTTTCTCCAGCCTATCTGCAAATTGTTACATAATAAAAAATAGCATATAAGTGAAAATCTGCATGCATTTCTACAAGAACACGCTTGTTTTGCTAAGACCCGTGTTAACCTCAGCCTACCTGCTCTAAAGCCCAAAAGAGATGTCAAAACTTTTCAATATAAACAACAGTCCTGAAAAAATTTTAGAGGACAGAGTTATTAAGTTATTAAGCTCAAAAAAACAAGAACAAACTGCATGAGTTTTGAAGAAATGATGCTTGGATGTGATAGTGAATACATAATCCCACCCTCTCAGAGGTTGAGGCAGGAGCATGGCAAATTCAAGCTCACCCTGGTTATTTTAGCAACTTAATAAGACCCTGTCTCAAAATTAAAAGTTTTTTTTAAAAAACTGGGAGTGTGGCTGTGTTAGTTACTTATCTCTCGCTGCTGAGACAAAAGTACCCGACACCCAAAGTTAAAAAGGGAAAGATTTATTTAGCTCACAGTTTGTATAGGTGTCAGTCCATAATCAGCTGGCTCCAAGGCAGGGAGGTGTGGCAGACAGGCATTGAAGAGGAGAAACAGTCCATGGCAGGCAGAAGACAGCAAAGCAATGAGGGAGGACCACAGCTCTTTCTGTGGTCCTACTTAGGGAGGGAAGCACTCACACCTTTAATCCTAGTGCCCTTGATCCTAGCTTTGCACTGTGACTCACTCCAGTGTCACACACTCTAGATCCAGCCACATCTGAAAAGGCCCCACCTATGACCACATGAGGCTTTGGGGGGACATCCACACAAGCCAAAACAGTAGCTCAGTGTGAAGGTGTTGAGTTCAATTCTTATTATCTTGAAAAAAGAAAACAATAATGAATGGATCTGAGGTCTTTTTCTTCTGAGGGACAGGAAGAGGACCGCCAAGAGGCTGGGAATTTGCCAGTGTGGACTGCATACTGCGCTGTGATGTTTGTGTGACTTACTATGTGCGTGTGTGTTTTCCACACTGCAGCTGCAGAGCTGTGTGCTCAGCACTCTCAGGGCGCTTGGGCTGGGTTTCACTGAGTCAGAGATGCCAAGGAGCTTCCCGGCCAGAATACAGGACTATCTGTAGTACCAGCCCTGCCTTGTGCTGCCGGTACGACTGTCCAGTGAGGGCCCCATGACAAAGTTCATAGTGGTGCCCTGTACCCCATCACTGCAAGTTCTGTGTAAAGACTAAAGGACATCAGGGGTCCCTGCCACCTGTCTGGCACCCCTGGGAGCCTTGTGTCTGGGGAACTATCCTATCATCTTGAAAGAGCGACAGCCACAGAGGTCACGAAGGCTGCAGACTGCGTGGGGTAGACCTGTCAAAACTCATGAGAAAACAGAATCTGAAAACAGAGGCTGCGTCAGGAAAATCAGTTGCTTTCTCTGCCAAATAAAAAGGAAGAGTTTTGCTCAGGGCAATGTGACGATGATGTGCGACTGTTCTGCATTAACTGTAACTTTCTTCTCCTTTTCTCATGGCCCACTTCCCTTTATTCTGCAGGGAGCACTTGAGGTTGTGGACTGCGCACTGGGAATATCTAAACTGGAAATAATTAAAATATATATTTCATTTATAGTGGGCCTTATGTGAGGAGAAGTCAAGATTTCCACAGCTTCCTGAGTAGATGAGTTAATGATGTGTTCTGCATTTTCTTAATTTTCCACATTTTAGCTGCCTCTGTTCCTCGTTTGGGGGTTGGGATGCTGACTCCTTGGGGCAGACAGGAGGGGGTAGCTCTCTGAGGATGGGGTCCCTGGCCTTGCCCTGTTTCTCTATTC